ATCCCCTTTGTTAGGGAATCACATGTACCAGTCTTTCTTACTCACCGTTATCATTGAATGAATCAGCCGCCATTAGGGAACAAGCAATCACACGCACATTTCCGGCCGCTCGTTCTCCGCCTCCACTCTACCGATCAACCGATTACTTCCATGGATCTCAGGGACACATTGCCTATTTCGACCTTTTCTATGATTACCTACTCATTTGTTTGCTCATGCTCGGCAAACTGCATGGGGATAGAATCAACAGGTGGTTTTCTCAGAGGATCAAGGAACACAAATCAGCCTGATTGGTTATCGGATAACTGGAAAACCGTCTCACGTACTAGTGTGAAACATCTGGCAAATACGAAACATCTTGTGAGTGAAATACTTCTGTTTCTCATTTGCTGATGATATCAGCGAACCGTTATGATATCAGAGCATGAATGATGCAAATAGTGTACACTGTTGATATCATGTGTCATGGTAATCTAAAGGAATTATCAAACAATGTTTACCACTGCAGAAATCATCAAAACCCTCCCTAAATGGTTGATTAAAACTCAGAAACAAAATAACTAATATACATATATGTCGTTGCTGACGATGGTTCATGACGATGGTCATGAAGTCGTGCTTAGAATGTTGATCGTAATGATTGCTGTTCACCATTTATTTACAGTCATAGTCACTGTAGTTATAGTAGTACAAATACTATGGATAGTAATATTGTAAAAGTTCAAACACTTACTCAGCTGACTCCAGTGCTTCCATCAGTTGGGGAACGGAGGATGCCCGAGACGACAGATCACTCATACTATCCTCTTTGTGAAGGGGACTGGATGAAAGTAACTGTATACGGTTTTTCAGACTCTTGTTCAAGTCCAATCCCACAGGTGTTACGTCAGAAGCGGCGTCTTGTTGATCTGATGTGTGTTCTTCCGCTGGAGTGCTGATGAGCGTTGGGATTGTATGAAGTCCTTCCTGTTTGCAAGCAGCAGAAGTTAATGCGAAGCTGTAGCTGTTATCGTACATTTCGGTGTTATTTGTTTAAATACTGTAAAGTTGCGTCGGAAATAAACTGAAAGAGATGGATATTCAACCAGTGGAAAGAACAAGGCGAAAGCCACGTTTTTTCTATTTGAAAAATCCATTCGTTTTGCGCGTGCACAATTTCCAAATCAGTGAATTGTTTATTATTGTGTAAGTTCTTTCTGATTTTCTCATCTCTGTCCTGGTAGTAGATTACCCCGTAAGGGCCAAAATCGCAAGCGTACCGGTTGATAAGTTGCTCTTACACACATATACACATATACACACAAACCCACAAACGCACGCACACACACACAAACACACCTTGTGAAGACGATTGTTTTGTCAAAGGTTCCGACATTGATGATATTGATGATATGATGATGATTTCGTAAAAAAAACTATCTGAAATTAAATCACGATTAACTGGTCAGTATTGGTAATAGGATGAATCACGTCTAATTGCTGTTTTATTTAGAAGGCAAACAATGGTCTCTTTGAGGAGCAATATTGTTTCATGAAATTTTCATTTTAGTTGGTCAGACCAATACTATTAAGATACAAGTAATGAAACTATTTCGCAAAAATAAACTTACTTCTTGGGTATAAAGTTCATAGTATTTGGGTAATCGTCCCAATCGGTATTCGATATTCTCTTTGGATGCGTTGAAATCGGACTGATTAATCCAAGGATCTTCGAGACACTCGAGAGCGGTCGGACGATTACTTTAAAATATGATGAAATTAAAAAAAAAAATAAAATTGAACAAGAACCATTTGCTACTAGAATGTTTACCAAATCGAAGCATTCCGCCCATCAAAGAGGCTAACTGATCTTAAATAATGCATCATGAAAGCCGGCATGCGGTAATGCAGCAAATCTTTTTTAAAAGATTGTCTGCAGGGTTCATAATTCACCTTTTTTATGCTATTATATGAAATAATCAAAATGAACCGTTACTACTGCCACTATCAAAGTGGTTGATTTATTTTGACTACTCACAAGTAGCCAAAAACAGAATAGCCAAACATTTTGTCAATGTTTGAAATGCGCATGGACGGATCGGTAACTTTCATTGTTCCTTTGTGTTTCTTTGATCAACTAAGATTGTGTCCATTTTTCCATCTACTAACTGGGGAAATTGCATCAGTACTAATTTTCCATACTCTGTTATTGTGTTGGAAAAATCATCGGTTCTAACTTGCATCAACATGTTGACTACCAAATGTAATTCCATCATATGATTTCAAGGAAGGTCCACGAGTGTTTGAGGAAAGCTGCTTCGTGCTAGTATGTAGGCTGATGAAAATGAAGTCAAATTCCTGTAGTGTGAACGTCTCCTCATTCTCGCCAAGTAGAGAAATGGCGTCAAAATTAAGCTTCACACGTTTTTTAATATCAAGTTTTTAATTACCATCAATTATTTTGATTTAGGTACCGAGAGTGCAATTTTCTGCGCTTACATACTCTTTATATGCAGAATCTTCATTCTTCGTGTCAACGAGAACTTTGAGACAGTTCTCGAAAAGCTGCAGCCACTTTTTGAATGCTTTAAACTCAGATAGGCGTCATTCAGCAGCTGCGTAGTACATCAACTTTCCTGGAAAATTAGGCCAAAGTGAAGAAAGCCAACCTCTTAAATCAGCTGAAACTAACACCGTGTCTCGTAGTTAGTTATCCTAGTTGTTATCCTACACAATATCACGCTTAACCTAATGGGGCCTTATATGATGTATCGGAGGGCTAGGTTTCCGGTTTCCAGGATTGAAGGCCAGGTCTTCGTGACGATGGGGTTTACCCCACCTGCTCTTCATCACACCAAGGCATATAATAAAAACGTTGATTGAGATCACTCTGCCGTCAGCCAACGTTTGTGATTTCCTATAAAACGGTTATCCAGAACGTTTTGTGGACAACGTTTTACGAAATAACCGTCCGAGAGAAAGACTTTTAAGCGTGGAGAAGAAGCCAGTAAACATTTCTCGCCAATTCAAAGGGAATACAATCGTGGCGTTTGGTTAGCCACAGAGTAGGAACTGAGTTGGGGAATACTTTTCACGCGGCAAATTAACGCGTCATATTCACATCCGGACCGATATTGTGTTGTTCACAACTCAAATACAGGATTCCTGTTTCTGCAGTCTCATTTTGTGTGTACCTGTTTACGTGTTCCTGCGGTCACACGAGCTGGCGTCTATCTACACGAGTTTGGGAACATCATCCGGCCTGGCTGAACACTGGTGTGGTGCCAGTTTCCCACCTTGTCGGCCTCTCTACCGGATCCTAAACATTGCAGAGGCGGTTGGAATTCGTCTACATAAGCCCCGCTTGTAAGCCCAAAAACAATTTGTGAAGTCACTCAACTTACCATGACCCTCCATCTCCTCCCATCCTCGTCCTCCTCCTCTCCCTCCCAATCCCACCCCAGATCACACAAGTAACACGGACCAAGCGTAAGTTTCGATTGTAGAATCAGCCATATTCGGTTTTGTGACAGAAAACAACAACAACAACAACAACAACAACAACAACAACAACAACAACAACCCCCAGTTGAATAATCATTAATCTTATTTCCTCTTTTCCATACATGTTATGATGTTATATAAAATATGACGTACTAGCCAGTTGATGAGTCACCGAAAATAAACTTGTTTGCTAAACTGCCCTCTCATTCAATGTTTGTCGCTGGTATATTCCGGGTTTGTGATTGTTATCAGCTCTATACTCCTTGATATCCCATGTGGCGGGTTTTTTTTAGCGGATCGTGTTTTCATTGTGCTCTCTTTTGACTTCACAGCGCTCTGTAAGATGACAATGACTCAAACCTGCACTCAACTTTGTTCCGTCAAACGACTTTCTGTTTACTCCATGAACGGAATTAATGTCTCGAGGGACGGCTGCATCGCAAATCGTCATCGGAGTTCAATTCCACATTCTGAAAAAATACGTCTAACTCGTTTTCAATGGAGCTGAATGGATAAGAGAGAATGCAGTATTGTAAAACAAAAACTCACAGTGGGTCCTTTTGAAGCAGCGCACGCACGAATGCTTTGGCTTCGTCAGACACGTTAGCGAACTCCTCCAGATCCATTGAATATTCCGCATTGAGAATGTTCTCACGTAGAATCTCACCGGTCGCCGTGTGCATGAAAGGATTCCAACCGGTTAACCTGTCACAGGGTGGTTCACATATTGTCGGTGAACACGTTTTGGTCGATTAGTGGACAAAAAAAGAAAAAGGAAATGAGAGAACATTTGAGGTCCTTAAAGTTCTATCACCAGCAAAGCTGTGTGCTATCAGGCGCGTTCCTAGGTTACGTAAAAAAGAACATTAGTTTAAATGGTTAGGTGTGTATAGGTAGTCATTACTTCATTCTGTAGGCAGACTGTTATTCGCGATGCACCAGGATTGTGACCTGGCAATCTAAACCTGTGGAACAAAGGCTTCCCAGATTCAATGAAAAGCTGAGCGATGTGTGCGATTCTGACGTACCATCAAATAAAAGGTCACCACCATCATCTTGTTCTTTAGATAGCTGTTTAGTGTGTGAAGACTGGAGGTTCACTGTGGTGAGTCATCCCTTCCAGATGACGCCAGCCAAAGTGCCTACGTGTTTCAGTTTCCGGACACTGGTCTATGGAGCAGAAGTATCCATCAGTTTATAGCTATACGGTTCAAATAGAGTCCGCGTGACTCGAAGAGCAAGAACGAGGGTGATTAGTTGATACCCGTTCGACTATTTGCACACTATTCAATCCCGTTGATTGTTTTTCACTAAACGAACCTCTACTTCTGTGCACGTTTTCCAGCATCTATTTGACAGGAGATTACAGCCTACGATTGCTAGTGCGCCTCGTGCATCAGTTATAGACATGATTTGTGATCCATACACCGTACTTATTTTGATTATTACATTCACTCACAAATAAAGTGGTCGAGTGGCATGGAGGCCGTAAATTGGTGCTATAATACACAAAATGCTTTACGTATTCCTCACGTACGAGCAAATCGCTTCAAACAGAGTAGATAAATCAGCATGGGTGGTGATGGCGCAGTGGTTTAGTCGCTGTCACCGGCGTGCTTTGAACCCTATGGTCCGAGGTTCGAGCCCCGCCACCGCCACCCGACTGGTGGCTCTGCTGTCGGCCGGTTCAATACCACGCCTAACCTATCGAGGCCTTATGTGGTTCGCGATTTCAACCACTGAACAGCACGTCCTCGTGACAATGGGATTTCCCCCGTCTGTTGTTCATCACACCTAGGAGTGTAGTCCAAAAAAAATTCCACGTTCGTTGTCTCAATTGCACGTGGAGCCCAAGTCTTTGCTGACTGAATCGCCGAATGAGATTCTTTCAAGTCATAGATACTTCCCACTATCTCTTTGACATTGCATACGGTCAAACGAAACTCTTCTGTCCGTTTGGCTTTTATCCAAGTGAATCTTAAGATCTCTAAACTACAAGCGATTCGCAGTGAAACAGTTTCCAAGTTTTTCATGAAAACCTTGCACCCATATTTTCCCACAAATAATAACAGTTTGGTCTTGGTCATCTTAAATAATTAAGACTCCGTTTTATTTTGTGTGAATACCATTACACCCCATTCGATAATTAAATTCTTTGTGAACTTTAAAATCATCTCCTTAAGGTGACCGCTGAACTGGTTATCTCAGGTTTGTGACTGGGCTGAGTCGGTTTCAGTTATATCAGATCTATCATGGTATTCAGACGGGTAGCCTACTTGCGTTCAATCCTCATTTGCAGGTAATCGATTCGACCAGATGTTGATGCTCATCACAGTTGGAACAGCTCTAGAACGCGTCCACTATTCTTCTATGCCAAAATTCGTCTAATCATAAAAGTCAAAGTCCTTTTCTACTCACATGAAACTGAAAAGTCAATGCAACAAGCAACTCCAGAACTGGTCAACATCAATCATTTTGAAATGTGACCCAGTGAGCAACACTGAGCTATCATCCAAAAGTCTCAGTATGGTCGGGGTGGGTGTTTGGGATTGTGAGCGGTCACCCTTCCCTTGCACCTCGCCAACTGCTCCCATATGACCGAGCGTCTCGAATGGCCTCTGCTTAGGAAGCCCTACTCACTGGCTTCTAGTAGCGGAGGTATTTCTCACCAAAGTGAGAGGACGAAAAGCCGATATTTGGGGAAATAACCGGGTTGGTGTACCACTGGTAGTTCACCCAGGGGATTTGGCCAAAAGCCCTGATTCCAAACCAACCATGAGGAGATGTATGAACCACGCACACAATTTCCTGGCTGTGGCAGTGGTCACCGTCTCGATTGGGCATCGAGGGGTATTGGGCACCGTGGATGTTGGGCCCCGTCCAAAGGGCGTATGATCCGATGAACTGGACACCGGCTCCCAATGGATTATGGTATTCGCACACCGCCCCGCTGCATTGCGGGTCAGGCTTTGGTTAGTCGAAGACTCCGATTTAGAATTGATTATTGAAATTCACCTGCCTTGGCCTGGAAAACCTGGTAATATTCAGTCCACATGCAAATCGCGGAAGGATTTTCTTTTTCATAAAGATTATTGTACCATGATTTATTTGGCACACAGTCTGGATTCAGACGTGTGAAAATGAAATTCAAAAAATCACCCTAATCTAAAAAATTACGCACTGGGTTTAAAAAAAGTAAAACTCGGTCACATAGTTACTGTGATTAAATAATAAGGTCACTGAGATACAAGTGGAGATTTTTAGATTAGTGTTACGCTCCAGTAGGTGTATTCTGAGTACTGCTCGCAACACCTCAACTGTGATGTTCTTTTCAGATGAAATCTCATACTACTCATGAGTAGAAATACTGTGAATGATATATTTTCAGACCCAGTGCGTAACACACGTGCACAAAGAAGTGACATTGACTTACAAAAGATAGGTTAGGACGCCAACGCTCCACATATCAGCGGCTGTTCCTACACTCAACGGTCCTGTCTCAGAACGATCACGTTCAACCTGGGCAGCGGCCAACAGCACTTCAGGTGCAGTGTACTCGCACCTATAGCGATGTGGAGGCAAACATCCGGCAGCATGAGAAGAAACTAGTGGCTCAGCCGCGGAGAATCCGGCCAGTTTGATCAATGTACTGAGCACGTTCAACTTATGCCTGTCCGTGGAGCCCGACCCCATTGCGTCGGTCACGAGTGGAGAGAGTGCCGCGAACAGGTCCGTGTAGGCGGTCTGACTGTCCCAGCTATCAGCGACAACACTTCGTGCGAAAATCAAGTTTTCCGGCTATAAATAACCAGTTCAAACGAAACAGTTCACATCGTTTGTTTCAAGGGTGGCTGGTGAATAGTGTAATGCTATAAAAATTTGGGTTCTGTACAGTTTTACACAAAATAAGGACAGACGGATTTGCTGGCCGTTCTATTATCATCGATGCCAAGTAACAACTGGTCCCAAGAAATATGAAACAAGTAAGACAGTCCTGTCATTCACCCCAAATGACCCTACCGCCTAAAAGGACAAATGACCGCATGAAATGGGAAATGGTTGAAGTCGATGTCTAGTTTCTCATTACTTTTCCTCAATATAGTAGCCTTTTTATTGGCCGCTTCTACCTTCCTGAAAATTGTATCTTTGTATATTCAGTAAATGATGGAAGTAAGAAAAGAAATATGAAAAAATGAAAATAAAGAATTTTTTGCCTAGTGTAAACATTCACCGAAATTAGGTCAGCTTTTTAACAAATAAGCAATTAGATGGTATCACAATGCCTTGATCTATTAATAGATACTAAAGATTTTCTATTTTTCCTCATTCTAAAGATCATTGATTTTCCTCGGAACTATCGGCACAATACCGAAACAAGTCAGTAAATAATGAGTTGAACTACAGGAATCAGAAATTGTTCGTGTTATTCGTTTGTGTGATGGGGAATTCTTGACAATGAATTCGTCCCAGATACTGCCCTCCCGCAGTCCCTACAAGATCGACTAGAGTTCCTACCGAGTGGACCACCAGCTGCTTGATGCAAGTGTCAATTGACAAGCTAGATACATTGGGGGCCGAGCGTCTGAAATGTTTCAGTCAAGGCTTGGAATGAGTTGGCTCCAATCCACAAGGCAATAGCAACCGTAAGCGTTAGCTCCTCCAAACACACACACACACACGCGCGCGCACACACACATAGAAATGTCGGTGGTCAGGGAAGACAACGAAACTCACATGGATATCGAAATGTACCACACCTTCGGCATGCACATGTTCCAGCGCTTCAAGCAACTGGCGAACGACCGCTCGAGCTGCAGATTCCGACCAGGTGGGGCAGTTTAGCATCGCCTGTAGCAAATTCGATCCGGTAAGACTGTCGTACCGTGATGCATGCATGACGCGTGGTTGGGAGAAAGTTGAGGAAGGCGGAAGAAGAGTAGAGTAAATGAACAAGCGACGGATGAGTCAGTGGACACATCGGCATAACATATGATGATGATGATGATTATGATTATGTTGTTGATCGTGAAGGAGGAGGGTGTGGCGGTAGCATTACTGTTCCCGAATTTCCAATTGTCTGTTCCACTATTCAGCCCCCTTACCTTCTGACCACGGGCTGAATTCGAACCGATCGGGAAGAAACCATGCCAATTATATTCATTCGCACAGACAGATTTGCCGGTATACAATTTTTGCATGCCAGAGTGAAACTTGTTGTCCAACACGTCTACGGGAAGTTTAACTGTAACTACTATACCACATTTGATGCTGGACACAAAGCATTCGATATAATTAGCACAAAGGACTGTGAATTTTCAAGGTCCTATGATCGGTTATAGCGTTTCATCTGTTGTAAAGGTAGCCGCTTCTGATAGGCATTTGTGGAACTTGGGTAACATAGGTTGACGAATCATTCGCGCTTTTGAACAATATTCTGATTTCAATTCGGATTGTATTTCATCAATGGTTGTTATCGTTCTTATTCCAAAATAATTTTGTAAGTCGTATATCAATGTCCTTTTGTCGTTGTTCCACCTTCTGAGGAGGTGGTGACTCGGTGGTAAAGTCACCCAATTATCACCCTGGGGATGTGTGTTCGAATCCCACCACCNTGACTTCCCCATTGTGTGTGTGTGTGTTGAATGGCAGCATTTGGTTGAACGCCTTCCCCTTCCTGAAAATTGTATCTTTGCATATTCAATAAGAGGAAGTAAAATGAAAAGAAAAAATAGGAGATCTTTAATGCTCTCGGATGGAAAATCAATGTACCCGATGGAGTGGACAGAGAGACACCGTATCATGTGGTGCTAAATTGAAACTAGCCAATGTGGTCAACCTGGATGGTCCAGCTGTTCCAGAGAAGACTCATAACTCTGCACTTCTACGTTCGTGTTGTAGGTGAACATGAAGTGTGGACGTGAGGAGGATAATTCCCAAGCAACCTCATACTAGAGGTCATTGACAACTGAGCTGTGAGGAATGGCACTATCACGCGAGAACATGTGTTAAAGGATTGAAGGTGTTGCAGTACTCTCTGTTTTTGAATTGTTCCCAATAGCCCGTCTTATTTATGGAAGTCCGTGAACGTTGTAAAAGCACTGCAACCTACCCTGAAGTACTTTTTTTATTCATTTCCCTATTTCTCCTGGAGTATGCGTAACTGACATATTTGTCTATAATATCAGTTCCTCATGGATACCTCTTATGCGACATTAGCCACAGCATAAATATTTCATCTGGGTGTTGAGGAGTGAAATCGAGAAGAAGAATTTACTTCGAAGATTCTGTGGTAATATTTTTTTTTTTTTTGTGTGTGTGTGTGGAATGACTCCACAAAATTATCACTCAAACCCATTTTCGATGCGTATCATAAGCCGTAAATTACAGTTAGAAGTAGATACCGGAGCTATTTCCAAGGAACTAACATGAAACTAAGGAGGCCATGCTTTCTGGGTAACTATCGCCAGTTTGTTGTTTTTATCTACTAGTTGTGATAACGGTTAGCAATTTATTACTCCACGTTTACGTATTTTATGGCCATTTTGATGGTGCTTCACATATACTAAATAGATTGACATCTAAATTTCACCTTCTTCCGGATCCAGGTTGAACGTTAGATAAATCATGGTTCAAGAACCATCATGACAACGAAAGAAGTCAGAAATCAACCGAATATGCCACTGTTCCTCTACCCCAATCTCGTA